CTCAAGATCGCGGTGAAGAAGTCGCGCGCGTTGGGGGGCGCGCCCGGCTCGCGATGTGCCATGTTGAGGCGGCCGCTCAAGTTCGCCTGCGTTCAAGGGGCGGAGCGCGCCGGGGACCTCGGCGTCGATCGCGCTGAAGGGCTTTGTGCAGCACGTGCCCTCAGGCAGCAGAGGTTGGCCAAAGTCGAGATGCGGTTCGGCAAGGCGCGAAGCTTCCTGGGTCTTAGGCGCGGTCGCGCGGCGGCGGTCAAGGTCGCCCGCGCGGGCCCCCACCCGTCAGCGCTGCACGGCGTCAGCTGCGCGGGTCTCACTTGCAGCGAGCTCTCCGATCGGCCGATCCGAGATGCGCTCGATCACGCTCCGCGCTGAAAGCAAGAACGCCACCGCAGCGTCGATGCTAGCTGGGCCCAGGTCGCTCGACCCCATTTTCGCGGCGACGCTGGGGCCTTTTCTTACGTTGGCCAAGGCCGCCAGGGAGAAATGGGCCCGCGCCGCCATGCTCCAGAGCACGTTCGAGTGGAAAACGCGCGTGGCCAAGAACGGGGGGCGACGTCAGAGGCCCACGTAGGCGCGGCCGTCCTGCTGCCCCTGAGGATCGGCTTCGCGCTCGACTCGTCCACGCACTGGCCCACAGATGCAAGAGGGAACTCAACCTTGCAGCGCCTTGGCCCTGGACGGCCAAGCAGGTCGCCACGCGGGGCGTCGAGCTGTGGCAGCTGGCGCATTTCGCCAAGTCCACGCACCGCGACATCTACGCGGCAGGACGGGCCTTCTTGTCCCAGGTGCGCAGGCGGGCGTCTGCAGGGCCCAAGGACTGGCGCTCGCTCGCCCCAGCGGGGGCCCGTTGCGCCAGATCGTGCTTGGTAGACGGCCAGTGGCTCAGCGAGAGGAGGTGTGCTGCGGGGCTCAGTTATTCCTCGGCATGTTTCCTGCGCCCCCACGCGGTCGGCACCTCGCGGCGCAGGCGCCTGGCTGGGGCGCAAAAAAGCGCCGCTGAACCTCTGCCCCCTCGGCAGGCTCGAGAGGTTCCTCGACGAGGGCGACGCCATCGCCACCTGGGCCATTCTCGAGCGGCTCTGGCTGCCTGAGCCCCTTCACGGATTGGAGGCCTCCAGCTGACGAGCCCTTGGCGCTTGCGCAATGGATTAAAAGGCCACGGCGAGGACGCGCAGTTCGCCGCGCCCGACTTATGCGCCGATGGAGCGTTCATCGATGGCGGCGCGCGGTTTGCGCGCGCAGCCCGCGCCGCGGTGGCGCCCCCGCCTGGGGGCGAGGCGGTCGACCCTGGGCCGCGCTCCGCCACCCGAGCCCTCGCCCCCTCCTAGGCGGGCATCCTGCAGTCCATCGGCGGCGAAGAGCTTGCTGTCGCTCTTCGTCCTGCGCACGCACGCTACGCCACCAGTGGTCATTCATCTTGATGCCGACTTCGTGGTCAAGGGAATTCACGTTCGCGGCCTTGCAGCGACCGCCAGCAGTGCGTCAGCGCGGGCAGCCCTGGGCCGAGCCGCGGGTTCGCGTCTGGCGTGTGGTGCAGGACTTTGGCGGGCTTGGCGAGCAAGGTCTCGCGGTGGTCAAGTCGCAGGCTCGCGCGGCAGTTCGCCGCGCGCAAGCAGGGCCCCTGGCGGCCAGGGCGAGGCGTGGCAACATGGCCGCTCACTTCGGCCGAGTTCGTGGCCGCTCATTTCGGCGCCGTTGACGACGTCGGGCCCCAGGCGCGTCAGACCATGCTTGACGCCGCTTTCTTCTGGGCCCCGGTTGCAGGCCCTATGGCCGCCGACGGCGGATCATATATCTTCGACGAGAAGGTGCCTCAGCGCGACGCCAAGACGGCGCTGCTCTTGAACAGCCACGGGGTCATCGAGCTGCCCAGCGGAGGTATCCACAGTCTGCGGCGCATCAAGACGGCGCACAAGAGCAACGTCAAGGCGCGCTTTTGGGCGAAGCCGCGCGCGCCGAAGCCCTGCGCCCCACCGCTTTCAGGAGGGCCCTCGCCCAAGCGACCGGCCCGAGGTGCCTTGGCGACGGCGGCTTCGACGGCGGCGGCCTATGCTGCCCTCGCGGGCGCGGTTGGCCAGCGCCCCCAGACCGACTGCGAGGGCGCCGACAAGGTGCCGATGGCCAAGGGCGCGAAAGCGGCCTCGCAAAATATTTATTATCGTCTCCCGGCCGCGTCTGCAGCTAGCTCGAGCGGCACTGTGAGCTCGTCTAGTGACAATATGCTTACCTCGTCGGTGAGCGAGGACCTTGTAGACCCCGCTGCGAAGGCCCCTCTGGCCCCAACGTCTGAGGCTCAAGGCCTCGCTGCGAAAGCCCCAGGTAGCGCTCCCAGACGTGATCTGGTTGTTCGCGCGGAGGCCTCATCTGCGTCGCAGGACCAGCCCCTTCTCCCGAGCGAGCCCCCTGTTGGCCCCGCTGCGAAAGCCCCGGGCAGCGCTCCGACATGTGCGCGTGCCCGGGTCGCCTGTTCGAAGGCTTCTTTTGCTTCGCAGTGCCAGCCGCACGTCGTGGGCGGTTCTGTGCGACGCAGTGCTCGGAGCGAGTTGTCTAGTTCAGATGCGCGTCGTACCTCTGGCATCTAGCCGCCAGGTCGCGTCGCAGTGTGTTGTGGTTCCTGCTCGCCGCCCGAGCTCGCCCGATCCGTCTCGGCCCTCGGCCCTCGAGGGCCCCCCTGGCCCTGCAGCCCCCGCCTCGCTTGCGGGGGGCGGCGCCGGGGCGCCAGGCGCGGCCAGCGGCGAGCGCCGGCTTGTCGCTTTCAACGGGTGTCGCAGTTGCGCGCAGCACCATTGCTACGCCCGCGCGGTCGGAGGCGCGATCCGAGGCCCGCCCCCCGAGCGCAAGCTCCCCGCCAGCGTTCGAGGTCTGCAGCGCCCGCCGCCGCGAGATAGTCGAGCGCGTCCGCGCTGGCCCGCCGCCCAAGCCACCTCGGGCGCAGGCGAGGCCAGGACGCTGAGCTGGGGGCCTGGCCGACGGCGGCGTTGGGCTGGCTCGCTCTTTTGCCGCTCGGTGCCCCGTTTTTAGTTTTCGCCTGCCGCCGGCGCCCTCTGCGACCGCCGGCCGCGCGGTTGCTAGAACCTGCGCTCGCGTCGCGCGAGCCTGGCCCAGTGGTTGCGCTCGGATGCGTTTCCCCCCGCCCAGCACAGCGCTTCGCGGCCCCATGGGCTAGGGGAAGGCCCCAGCGGCTGCCCTCGCACGCGGCTCCGCCACCCAGCAATGGCATGAGCGCATCCCCAGAGCCATGAGGATGGCGTGGACCAAGGCGCATCACGTGGGAGTGCGAGGGCGGACCAAAGCTCATGCCCGACGCGCGCGGTCACGGGCAGGGCGCGCGTGGAGAATGAGTGCGAGATCGCGGGTGCGGGGGGCAACTTTCTGGAGATATTCACAAGTGACAAGGGGGCGAGAAAGTCTGGCCGGGGCAAACTGGCGCGACCATCGCGCAACGAGCGCGCGGAGTGGGAAGACGCTCCGCGGCGAGTCTGCGCGACGGAGGAACGTCGCAGTTGGGCGGGCGCCGCTGCTGACCGGGGCGCCTGGCTCAACGTGGAGAACAGGTTCGTCGTGTGGCACTGGGCGGTTCAATCCCGCAGGCGCGCCCGTCCCTGGGCCTCCCCCCGGGAGCTGCGCCCCAGCCTTCCAGCCAGTCAGCCTTCCAGCCTTCCCACCCAGCACACACCCAGAACAGCGTTGCGCTTGGGAGCTCCACCGAAGCCGCCAGTGGCTGCACTCGCAGGCGGTTCCCCCACTCGGAACAGCTGTTCCCGGCCCCACTGGGAGCTCAACCCAACCAAGGCCTCAGTGGCGGTGTCCGCATGCGGTTCCCCCACCGAGCGCAGCGCTTCGTAGCCCCATGAGTAGCTCCACTGAAGGCACCAGTGGCGGTGTCCGCATGCGGTCCCTCCACCCAGTACAGCATTTCGTGGCGCCGCGGGGAGCTCCACCGAAGGTCCCACTGGCGGTGTCCGCATGCGTTTCCCCCACCTAGCACGACGCCTCATGGCCTCATCGGGAGCTTGCACCGAAGGTCCCACTGGCGGTGTCCGCGTGCTTTTCCCTCAGACAGTACAGCGCTTCGTGGCCCCATAGGTAGCACCGCAGCAAGCCCCAGTGGCAGTGCCCACGTGCCTTTTGCTGCCCCCCTCCTTCGTCACACCTGCCCCGCGACACGCGCTGCTGCATATCATTAGGTCTGGTCAGGCTAATTTATGGTTATCGTATTCCTCCACGTTCTGGCGGGTTGGTGCGAACAAGTTATTATTCCGGCCGCGGACCTCCACAGGCTGTTTCGTGTGGCTTCCCCTGTGTTTCGCAAGTCTCCCTTTCAGAACTTGCCTCGTTCGGATTTCCCCGAGTCATTTTCGCGTGGCGAAGATTTTGGGCCAACCTCACCTCCTCCTGACGTTCCTCGTCCTCCTCCTGGTCCTCGCGCTGGGTGGTGCGGGGGGCGGCGAGCATATGTTTCGCAGTCTCGGGCTTCTGGAGCCCGCCCATTTCTGTGCTTGGGGCTGTCAAGTCCATATTTGAAAACCGACCAGACTGGATAGAGCACGGGGGTGTCCATGGACCGATTCTGGGCGTTTTCGGAACGGCGCATTGAAAGGGGTCGGGGAGTGTGGGCGGGGGGGGGCAGCTGTGTGGGTGGCTCAGAGGTTTTTGTTGTGTCAGAAGGCCTTTCAGATAGAAAGGTCGTTTCAAAGCCCTGCCCTTGGCTGTTTTGGAAAGCCCATCCCCAACCATACATCCGCCCCAAGCCAGTACCCAAAGCCCTCTTGGGGTCCAGGCTGGCCAGCTTTTCAAGTTGCGACCCGCCGTGGCGCCGAGACGGGGATCCTTGAAGGCCAGAAGACGAGGAGGATGGCCACAGTAAACCTGGTCAGCCGCTCTGAGTCCGTGTAGTTATTGCACATTCCTCTAGTCGTAAGGAGTCGCAGGTGAGAGCCCTAGTATAAAAGGAACCGCCCCCCATCCGTGTTTATGTTGCACCTGCTTTGCACAGTAGTAGGGTGCCTTGGAAGTACCGGGCGGAACCCCCATTTGGGAACCGTGCCCGCCTGCATCCGTGCAGCTTTTGGAAAGTTTAAGAATTCCGTTCGCCGTGCCGAGGCGACCACATGTTGAAAACCACCCGCCTCTATCCGTGCAGTTGCCGGAACTGTCTAAGACGAATGTGCGCGGCGCAGAGGCGAGAACCACATTTTGAAAGCCACGGGCCCTCCACCCGTGCAACTGTTTAGAAATCTCTGCATCAGGACAGTAAGTTGCAAGGGAGTCTCAAGCGAAACGTCAGGCCTGGCGTACGGACACGTCAGGTGATGCGCCACGGAGGAGTTGTTCATAAGGGAGAGGGATGGAGGAGGAGGAGGAGGAGGAGGAGGAGGAGGAGGAGGAGGAGGACGAGGAGGAGGAGGAGGAGGAGGGGATGATGATGATGATGATGATGATGATGATGATGATGATGATGATGATGATGATGATGATGATGATGATGATGATGAGGAGGAGGAGGAGGAGGAGGAGGAGGAGGGAGGAGGAGGAGGAGGAGGAGGAGGAGAGGAGGTGCTTCGGATGCGGAGGAGGAGGTGGAGGCGGAGGCGGAGGAGGAGGACGAGGAGGAGGAGGAGGAGGAGGAAGGGGGATGGAGCAGGAAGCGGAGGAGGAGGAGGAGGAGGAGGAGGGGGAGGCGGAGGAGGACGAGGAGGAGGAGGGAGTCCCGCCCGCCTTCGATATCGTGTAAGTTTGCGTTCCCTTGTTTTGCTGGCCACGCGAATTTACTTGCTGTGTGCTTTCCCGACCTTGGGAGTCGATGCCCTTGGGATTCGGTGCTTGGCATGTTTCTGGCTCTTCAGGCTGGAGCCTGGAGCCCAAACGAGCTTCAGGAAGACAGCGGCACTGACTATCCCGCCTGCCATCGCCTGACACCGACCATCCCCTGACATCGCCCATCCGCCCGCAGGCGACATCGTGTACGTGTTCCCCGAGCTCCAGGAACGCTGGTGAAACCACCCAATGGCCTCCATCCGTTTGAGGGCAGCCGCTCGGGAGGAGGAGGAGGAGGAGGAGGCTGACGTTCAACCAGCGCTGAACGTTTTACCCCTGGCGCCCTGACGGGCATTGCCATGAAAGAGCTGATCCCTCTTTCTATCGTGCTTTTGTATGGGCCCCGCCGGGTGGCTGCGTGCCCTGAACGGAACCCGATCGGCCAGTGCTGTCCTGTGAAGTGAGCGGTCTACCACTGCGAATCTGGTGTGCGGTAGTGTTCGAGCCGCACCGAGATCGCGAGGAACCCGTGGCCCCGAAGGCGGGCGAACACGCCCTGAGGGAAAGAATTGCAGCGCCCGGATCTTGGGGCTCTTTCTTCACGGCACGGTTTGGAGGGATAGGCTCGGGGGGGAACGCATCGACCCCCGATCGCCTATTGATCGCCAATAGGGGTCTGGCAACCCCACCCCATCCAGGAACGTGCAGATGCGCCATCGGGAGCCTATCTCCGATCTATCGGCGATGTATCGCCGACACCAGGTCGATGTCCCCCCCCCCCCGAGCCAGTCCCCCCTATCGTTGCCCCTAGCCGGAGCTCCAATTGTTTCAATGCGTGGACCCCCAGAGGTCTGGACAATGCCCCCAGGGTCGGTGTTCGTCCTGAGTCGTCCAGAGCCCATTGAGGGCCCTCGAGGCTGAGAATCGCCCCAAGCCTGCCGCCCCCATGTGTTTCGGAGGCTCGGATCTCTGGGCCCTCTGCTCCAGGAGAGCCGGGCGGCCACGGCGCTGCTGCTCCAGGACTCGGCGGGGACGACGATTCGGGCCGAGTCGATGGGCGGCGGGGATAGCGCTCGGAGTTCGCAGAACACGTGGCGAATTTCGAACCATGCCCCCGCCTCCCATCGATTCATGTAGGGGCACAAACAATGGCATAAATACTCGGTGGAGGTCGGAGCGGATTTCTCAAACCGGTGCTGGCCCCCCCTCCCTGGCGCGCAGAGCGCGCCAGTGGCGGCGCCGGAGGCGCCGCCAGGGGGCCCCAGCGCCGATCCGAGGAATCCGCGCGGACCCCCGAGTTGTGTTGTGTATGTCATTTGTCTGCGTCCCTACAGTGGGGGCGCGCATCAAGAAACCATCTGCTTTTCGTCAGGGTACCCTGGGTTTCTTCGCTCCTCGCGCTGCGCGGTGACTTCCCGCGGCCGTTGAAGGAGCTGCTGCGTTCAGGATGCTCGGGTTTTCCTCTCAGGTGCACCTCGTGCGCGGGTTTCCAGGGTTGGGTTTCTTGCGAGGGTTTCTTGCGACCGCGCCCGCACTGTATCAGTCGATGGTTGGTGGGGGAGGGTTCGGATGTCGCCAACCGAGGACACCTCCGACGCCGAGCTGCGCCGGCGGCTGCAGGAGAGCGGCTGGGCGCCGGGCGCCGAAGGGCGCGCGGCGCTGCTGGGCGCCGCCGTGCGGGCGATGGCCGCCGAGCGGCGCGAGGCGCCCGCATTCCTGACGGAGCGCCCGCTGCGGTTCAGCCAGGCGTGGAGGGCAAAAGCTATTTGCTTCTGGGAGGCCACGTGTCGGGGAAGCGTCAGACTCGAATGTACGCCGGAACCCGGGTTTGCCGACGCTTGTTGACGAGCGCGCCGTGGATTCTGAGGGTCTAGTTTTCGTGGGATGTCTGCAGCGTAAGCTCGCGCTAAATTTCAGATTTGGTCGCGTCGCTTTCGGGATGGCCCCTTCGGGCCAACCCGAGTCTTACGGTCAAGTTGCCGTATTCAGCGTGCACGGCACCCCTCGACGGACAAAGTGCCAATCACCGTGCGTGCATGCTATACGCGTCTCTCCCCTCCTGACGCGGTTTGGTATACCTCAAAGCGTGCGTGCACGCTATACGTTTCTATGTTGCAAGTGGACGTGCACGCTAAGGGTTTTTGGTTGGCGATACTTTTACGTTGCCACTTCCCTGGGCATGCGTGTGTAGCGCCCTCGTCGGGGTGCACTCTATACGATTCCGACTTTCCGGCTCACCTCTGCACTTCGGTTGCTACTACGTACCAAGGAAGAGGAGGAAGAGGAGGAGGGGAAGGAGGAGGAGGCGGGGGAGGGGGAGGAGGAGGAGGAGGAGGGGGAGGAGAAGGAGGAGGAGGAGGAGGAGGAGGAGGAGGAGAGGGAGGAGGAGGAGAAGGAACAGGAGGAGAATAAGGAAGAGGAGGAGGAGGCCTCGTGGCGATCGCTCTGCCCAGTCCCCAGTCCCGTCCTGCACCCTGCTGAGTGTTTCGTGGGATGGCTTGCGAAGAGCAAGGGCCCATCACTTACTCGGGCCTGCAGTCCATGCTGACTCAAATGCAGAACAACCTGTCCGCAATGTTCACGTCGCAGCTCTCGACCATCAAGCAGGTCGCCGCCGCCATCGGCAGTACCGTCAAGGAGCAACCCACGACATTGGACAATCTGAAGCGCCAGGTTAAGCAGTACAGCCAGCAGCTCAAGGACGCCGAGGACACGATCGAGAACACCAACCAGGAGCTCAAAAGGGTGCAGTTTTCCAATGCCAGCAGCGCCGACTCCACGCCATCGGACCTCATTCGCATCAATAAGGGGCTCAGGGCTGAAGCACCAAGGAGCGAACGTCGATCAGATGCAGACCGTCGTCGCTGGGTCGGCACATGGCCTCGCCCAGTATCCAAGACGGTCTACTACGCGTACTCTCCGTGGTTGACTACCATTCCGAAGCACCTCGACAAACCGCAAGTGGAGGCCGAATTCAACGAAGTCTTCCAGACTTCAGCCTCCTCTTCGCAAGCGCTGCCGACGCCCGCGCATTCCAGCATGCCGTCAGCAGCGCTGGCGTTAGGCGGGAGGATCCGCGCAACAAGCGGACGTATGACATCAAAGTGCGAGGGGATTTGCCCATCGAGATCAAGGATAATAGCCGTGCCTTCAGCCCCATCTACGAGCAGATGGGGGACCTCTTCAAGACCAGCGGCACGTGGACGCCCACCTGCAAGCTGCGGGTCAGCGGCTACAAGAACCACATGCTCATCTCCGACGGGGACGACATATGAGAACTTGTGAAGTTGCAGGTCACCCAATGGCCCCGGGGCAAGGACGCGTTCGCCTTCGAGATCCAAGAAGAGACCTGCCGCGATTGGAACATCGCCGACAAGGACGCCCAGGCCATCCTCGACGAAGCTCAGAAGGACATGGGGGGCGAGCACGCATTGCCGAGGGTTCGAGGTTCGCAGGACATTGTGGGGGCAACAGTGCAATTTGATCCGCGCAGTGAGCACTTGCCGTCGCCACCAGATGTTCCCCCCTCTCCGCCGTCGAAACGACGGCGACGCCCAGGTCTTGTTTTTTTTGCGGTTGCCTGGGGGTCCGCAGGATGTCAGACAGGGCATCGGGACTTTGGGAATGCCACGTGCATTGCTTGAGAAAGAGATACCATAATGATTAGGATAACAACTCGGTGCGACAGCAACCCCAAATACTTTGCTCTTGTTGGCAATGACAGATGAAGTAAATACCGCGGCTGAGCGATGCAATCCCTCTGAGGTTTTACGTATCTCAGGTGTACCCCGATCAGACATGCGAGTGGCACTGCGCATATTGCACCCGTGCACGCGCCACCTCTTCCCTCCACCACGGCCCGCGCCTTGGCGTTGAGATCTGAGGGCCTCGCGCGTTTGGCAACTGTTGCTCGGTGACCGTTCGAATGTTGCCAGATGCGCGGCGCCGCCGCGCTAACCCCCCAGGCCTCGCCGGCACGGGCGCGCCCCGATTTCCGGGCGACGACGGAGTGGCGGGGGGCCTCTCGCTGACGTCATCCAAACCCGCGCACATGTAGATTTGCACGCAAAAGGATTGGTCGCGACACGCAGTTATCAAGACGGGCGACCGACCCCATCGGGCGACGATTTTCCCTCAGGGGTGGTCATCGACACCATTGTCTTCCTTTCTAGTCACCCGCGATCGTCCGACGACGCGGTTGGTCGCGCTGCGCGACGGGCGCCGTCGACGCTAATCCGCCGTCGCCGACTCAGTCGATGGGTTGCGGACCGAGGAACGCGAGCGAGCCCCCGCGATTTGCCTCGAGGGATTTGCCGCGTCATAAGTTGATGCGTGCCATGATTCCACCCCCGCCCCCAGCGAGCTGGAGGCAGGCGAGATCGTTGGTCAGGGCGACGAAGACCTCGAGGACATCGCTGAGCCGCCAGTGGAGCCAGAAGAAGTTGACTTCGAGATGTCGAATGCCGAGCGTCTGAAACGGGGCGCAGCCTCCGTCCAACATCCCCTGGCGCGCACCCCCAAATAATCCTGGTTGCGAGACGCGCGCAATGGCCAGGGCCCTTCGGCTACAACGCCGCAAGAGTCAGAGTTAAGGGCTTTGCGTGCCCAGACCATGCGCTGACCCCCTTGCTTCGCACGCCTCATACCGTGGATCGCTGGTTGGCGGCTGACGAGCTATCGCGGGGGGCCCGCGGGGAAAAAAGCGCGCGCGGCGTTTCGCGATCTGCATGTGAATTTCATCGCCGCGCGGGGCGCCCATGACAAGTCGACGGGGCGCGCGCGCAATTTCTTTGTGACCTCGAAGGGCCCGGGGGGGGAATTCAACAATTGCTTCGCGGATGGCGCCAGCGAGTATGCGAGCGCTTGCCCGGGGCGCGCGATTGCGCGCGACGCCGCCATTCCAGGCAAATGGAGAGTCACGGCAGAACCCAAGAGAGCACGCAGCGACGTGCACATGGGCGCCCGCTCTTTGCTGCGCGCCGCCAGCTTGCAGCCGCCATTCTGGATTTACGCCGCGCGTTCCGACTGCGTCTGTCATAGTGCTCGACGGGCCAAAGACGTGCAATCTTTTCGCAAGTTAAGGCATGGGTCTTCCTTCCTCTCAGCACTTCTTCCTTTCGGGCCGCTCATCCGCCGCTGTCGCGCCGCCGCCTGAATCGCGACGTCAGGCAGCCAAGACAGTCGCCCCTATGGCCACGGGAATCTATCTGGGACATTTACGCAGAGCGGGGGGGATCGTTGGACACGACAGCTACGTCGCCCTGGGCATCGCTCGAAGGCCTGAACATGGGGGGGCTTGGCGGCCCTCGACCCGCCATCGAAAAGTCGAAACAAGTCTTCAGTGCCATTCTTGGCCCCGCGGCAGCGAGTCTAGAACTTGAACTCCCATTGACCGACGCTTGCGAGCAGGCCCTCGCTCGCATTGCTCCGGAGACGGCGCCGCCCAAGGAGACGGCTTGTAGTTCGTCCGGCGGAGCGCGACCTGGCGTCGACAGCCCTGCTGCCCACGAAGGAGAGGACGATGACGGCGACGAGTTGTTTGGCCATCCGATTCCGCCGCCGCCCCCGTCGCCGCCCGATGAAAGAGGCGAGGCCGCGGGCGATCCTGCGCCAGGGGGCCCGTCGGATGCCGACGGTCCGGTGGGGCCGCGACCGCCCGAGGAGTTTGCGTTTGTAGATGGGATTGATCAGCAACGAGACGACGAAGCAGACCAGGGAACGCTTGGATTATGTCCTATAGAATACAGGCTGGAGTGACTGTCGCACTTTTCATGCAGGCGTAGAATTTCCGGGGGGGGGGGCCGACGCCTGAGCGGCCGTTGGGCCGGACCGTTCAAATATTCGATACGGGCAGTCTGAGGATGAGGAAATTGCTCGCAGATGGTATCCTGCACAAATGCCCCCAACAACTACAGTTAATTGGCAAACGGAAGACACGTGCCATGCGCGTGGTTTTAAATTGCGACCTTGAATATAAACATGGCATGCGGATGCAAGTCGAGGGCGAGCCCTATAGGATTCAACGTGCGAAGAAGATCCCCGGGCCCACCAATCCTGGAGTGCACCCCAGCAGATGGCTTCGCACGATGGAAGGACCCAACGGAGAACGAAGCAAAGCAATCGGGATATACAAAACAGAGAACTCAGGGATCTCCGCAGTTGAAGACGAAAGTCCACGCCTCGAACTTTCGAAAGACATTGGCATCCGTGTAGCAAGGGTCGCGCGCGACGCGGGCAAAATCGCTGTTGCGGGATCATTTTTGCTTGATGTTGGCCCATGCAGTTTGCGGGCAATCGAGCTGTCGCTAAAATCTGGCACCGAAGCTGATGACGATAACATACGGTGGCAAGAAACATGGCATGAGTGAGCGCTCCTACGGGACGGGGTCGACCCAGGCTTAGACTGGGAAGACTCGCCCCTGGATGCCACCTCCTTCAAAACGGGCTTGCCTGGCCACGGGCCAAGCGGCCGCGGCTCATCGGCGTGGCGCGCCCAGAAGGCCATTGCAGCTGCCCGCTGCCGATCATCAGGTGCGCCGAGAAAAGGAGAGGATGGATCTTCTGTTTTGCCGCAATCCGTTCACTGACACGAGCCAGGTCTTTAAATGGGAAGCATCGGGGACCGACCCAGCTGGCCTGCTGATGGGCCCTTCGCAAAGCACGACAGATGCGGCTGCGGCTCGCTCGAGTATGAAATCAGAAGCGGCCGTGAAACCCGAAGCTCGGATGGCATTTACAGCGGAACA